CAGCCCGAACATGCTCGCCCTTTCAGCGATGGGAGCATTATAACGTGATGATCAATTCCACTATTCGTTGTTAAAGAGTAGCTGATGAGTTGACGATGAATGATGTTGACTAACTGCCTTCCCTCTACTCTATCACTTCTGTATTAGGGGCAGCTTTGAGCGAAATTCATTAAACAAAGAAACAAATTGAGACAGAAAAATATTTGTTTCCAGTCATTGGATATTCTAGTTGCTATAAATTATTTTCAAAGGAACTACAAACAACGATCTATGAGCATAACGAAATGGTTTATTTCTTTTTGGGGGGGGGCATACTACATGTTTCGACAGAACATTCGCCTGCCTTCTTTCACCCGAAGAAGACAGACTAATGCTCTTAAGAGAAATTTTTTTAATAGATACATTGGTAAAATATTGCTACCTAGACAGCTGGTTTTGTTCTGTTTTTCGCTCAAAGTATCTTCAGAATAATTATATTTTTTTCTTTTTGGAACTGTTTTCACTCAAAACATTATTACCATCAACAAAAGGTGTAGATTTCCCCTGTGGCAGAGCTTTGGATTTCGATGCTGGAGAGCCGAGTTCGAATCCGTGCGATATTAAAACATTTCCAACACTTTAAGCTGTTTGTGCGTTAAAGAAGTGACAGCAAATCCTTTGACGTGTATGGTGAGTGTTAAGGTGCTGTTACCCGAGTGCTTTTCCTCTGTTTAGATGGTCAAAATTAAAGGCGGCGGCAGATAGCTTTAGTAAATACAGAAGCATACAATTATCATCTGAGATACTTTCTATAGTGGAATTATTTTATTTGTTTGCGTTATTAATGCCCAATTTAGAGATTTTAAAATTAGATTGGTATTGTTATTTTCATTCATAACATCATCCATGATGGAATTTTATCTTCTTATATTCTCTTTTATGCTTAATAGTTTCATATTTTCTAAAGATAAATTATGGATAACGTAAATCACAAACACTGCACTTTGGCACGAAAATGATGTTTTAATACGAAAGTAGTAGGAGTTAATTATAAGCATGAGTGCATTACTCAAAATCAATTCTAAATTTCTCACGACTAAAACTATCAGCCCCCCTCCAGTCGCTTAGCGGTAAATCTGAATACACTTAACGTAAAAAGCACCAATGAAATATCAGACCAAACCAAACTTTTATACTAGTGAGGTATCGAAAATCAAGCTGTTTCATTTGAATCACGGTGTTTCATTTCCATTGGAATATCCATAAGTTGTTTAACACAGGTTAAACAAACCCTGTTTTGTGGTATTCCAAGGATATATCAAGCATTGCTTAAACTTCTCAACAAGAGGCGTTTGCGAATATGATATGTGAGACTTGAAAAGCGTAGCGGTTTGTTGTAGGTGGAATGAAGGAGACAAGACTTGGTCAGTGTGAAGATGAAAGAAACACTTTATTGATTGAAGAAAGAGAAGAATCACACATACTGATCGTTAAGTGACTGGAAACTATTGCGTTGTGAAAAAATGAAGAGTAAAATGAACCATATTTAATAAAAATAAAATAGAAAATAAGCGTTACTTTAAAAGAACTGAAAACTGGTGGCAATATTGTTGACGAAAGAATAAGTATACACAGTTAGCAAGCTGGAAATAAAAGGTTTATGGAAGTTAAAACAAGGATGAAGCTTCACTAACAAGTCTTCTTTCAAGACAGAAAATAATTTCTTTGAAAAACGCCAGATACCCCGATCTCATAATTCCCGTTCTCTCTGTGGCTTACTAACCACAAAATTGGATCACAATGTATCTGGAAATATCTCTACTTCATGTGCTAACCGTTAAACACTTACATTTGTAAAATGTAATTATAATACAATACATCTATCCCATTAAACAGTTGACAGCCTTTTGAACTTAGGGGATTCTGTTGATTAACTGTTCAAGACAAGCTTTGTGCGAACATTCTAAAACGAACAGTCTTTCACCTAAAACTGAATTGGCACACGACCTTGACTGATTTTGCATGTTTCAAATTAAAACTTCGAGTTAGATTTTAAAATTTTATGTAATATGAATCAAATATAGGTTACAAAAGAGTGAGATGTGTATCTGCTTATCACATTTTATTTCAGGTGCTCGTATAAAATAAATGGCGGACAAGGACTGTCAGCACTGTGTATATGCAAAGTCCACTAGTTTCAACGTCTTTGTTGAAACATAAAACCATCAACAAAATATATTTCGACATGGTAAAAAGCAAAGAGCTAGAAGCAAACACTGAATGGTGAAATACTATTTTGGAAAACTAGCAGAATTTGTGTGCTTGGAGTTAAGCACAAAGCTACACAATGGGCTAAACTAGCAGAAACTGTGTGCTTTGAGTGGCAATAAGCACGTGGTAAATATATAGCTTTGACGATGATGCTTTGAGTAAACAAAAACTTATGATGCAAAATATTCGATGAGGACTTACATATTAATCATAATTGGTATTCTTGAGAAATATAACTCTTGGTATAGATTATAGTGATAATTCAGTATTAGGGGATTTCAAATTCATTAAAACTTATAAATTGATATCTTATTTTCTGTGTAACCATTTTATTGATATTTAGGCTATTACATCATATGGGAAATCGTATATATGTTTTCAATTTTCAGTACCTCTCGATACCACAAAAAGACTGGGACCCTTTAACGGCAGATGATCTGGAATTATATATATATATATATATATACATTTTTTTGTAATGATGCTTTGCTTTCAGAAAATATTAAATTTTTAATATTCTCGATACCTTTGGATTGTAAAAGAGCTTGAAGATGAAGTTTTAAACTCAAGTTTGAACGAATTTTTCAGCTTCAGGTCTGGCATGAGTGCACAGTGGCACAGCGGTATGTCTGCGGACTTACAACGCAAGAAATCGGGTTTCGATACTCGTGATGGGCAGAGCATAGATAGCCCTTTGTGTAGCTTTGTGCTTAACTACAAACTACTACTACTGGCATGATTATGTACGATAAATCTCTACTCTGGACTGTCTTGCAGTAGCTTGAGGTTTTCTAGCGGCAATAATAATGACTTGTTTATTCATAGTTGTACTAGCAAGTAGCATAAAGTTACACAATGGTTTCATGTGCTGTGTACGTCGCAGGGATAGGATCCCTAATTGAAACGTTATAACTCGTGAAGGTTACCACCGGGGAAGGAGCAATAAGCGTAAACATAAAGTTAGTTTAACTTTCATAATCATAGTATTTGTGAATTATTTTTATTTCTGTACTTTTGCATATCATAGTAATTTAGCGCTCTCTAGTGATGAACAATACTTATTTTTCGCTTTAAAATGTCTTACAGTACAGTCTGTGTATATTAACATTCAATGTCAAGTTTGTATGTTAGAAGAAATGAAAGCATTGTCTTTATTTTTTTTTCATTTCCAAAACTTCTTTACTTCTAATTAAAGTTTAGGGCTTTGTACGTGTGGATGTTACTTGTTAGTTACTACGAGACTTACTCTTACTCTTTACTGTTAAACTTAAAGCATGGCTGAAAATGAAATTATCTTTATTATAAGCATTACTGTTATTAATTACAGTTACTGAATTAACATGATGGGGGGGAACAACCCTACAATGAGTATCCCAACTTTTTCTTTTGATTGATATATATATATATACTTCCGTTCATAACTGATGAAAGGTTAAGTTAGACTCAGAGTTACATATAATTATAAACTAGGTTTTAATTGATGGTCAATAATAAATTCCATATTGAAAAGTTAAAACTATACATAATTTCAAAACATAAAGCTAAGAGCCACCTGAGTTATTGAAAAATCATATTCAGCATAAGCATGGCTTATTTAAAGAAAATTTCTTAAAATTTAGTTGAGAAGAATGTCTTGTGTAACAACCTATTGAATATTGCCAGTATAATAACAGTAGAGGCAGCATATATTATTTCAATTGGAATTTAAACTGTATTTTACGTTTTTAAGTAAAAACATTTACAAATTCGTTTTGAAAAGAGAAGTATACAGTTATAAAAATTTACAAGTAAGTTTTATGTTATCTTAAACTGGGGAAAAATAGAAATGATGGATTATCTTACCTTATGAACAGATATGTGGAACACTAATTTATACCTCTAGGTCTTTGGATTTTATGCCCAGTGTCAATGAAGATGATAAGTAAAAATAAAGGACACTGGGCTTGAGTTTTTTGCTACCTCTGTGTCTATTTCATGTTCTTCAGGCATCTACTGGATGTGAAGGCTGAAGCATGTAAACCTTTAGATTATAAACAAATGTTCTACAGTTGTATTTGTGGGAAAAGAAAATTCATCATTTTTCTTTCCAGTTTAATACAACCTTACAGCCCTTTAAGTTAAATGCTATATTTTAAAACTAGTTCTTAAATGTTATTATAATAATTTTGTTTAAATTATAGTTTAAATAGGTACATGTGAGAAGTTTATCATATTGAAATAATACAATTAACATAACATAATATTTTGGGACAACATAAGACCTATTCGTCCATCTCAGCTGTTCCATCTTCTAAACTAAATTAAAATAATTTAAAAAAAATCTTATAGGCAGCCCTTATCATTCATGTACTTATCAAGCTTTTTCTTAAACTCAGTTAATTTTACTGCCTCTACAACATCTGAAGGCAACCCATTCCAAAGGCCAATCACCCTGTTAGAAAAATCAAACTGTCTTAGCTAAAAATGACTCCTACCTTGCCAAAATTTATACTTGTGTCCCCTAGTCTTACTGTTCTCACTGTTAAATATGAAAAAAAAGATGATGCATCAACACTATCAATTCCCTTTACAATCTTAAACACCTCAATCAATTCCTCCCCCTAACTCTCCTTTTTTCAAGAGAAAACAATTGGAGAGATTTCAGTTTCTCCATCACAGGCACTATTTTAGTAACCCTTCTCTGAAACCTTTCCAACAATTCAATGTCTTTCTTAAGGTAAGAAACCCAAGACTGAATACAATATTCCAAATTTGGTCTAACCAGTGATCTGTACAATGAAATTATAACCTCTTGGAACCTTGGGGCCCATATATAAAACTATCAGCCGGATGACTGTTTACTTCAGTTATTCTTTCATACTTGTTCCCCCGGTGGGACAGCAGTAAGTCTTCAGATTTACAATGCTAAAATCGGGTTTAATTCCCCTCGGTGGGCATAGCAGATAATACAATGTGACTTTGCTATAAGAAAACACACACACACACTTTAATACTTCTTTATTTTTTTTATTAGAATAACACAAGATGGATGAAACAGGAGATTTCAGGGACTCTATAACCCTTTTGAATATTCCATGGAATGATGTGCTATTTGTCTATCTTATTCCAAATTTATCTTGGGCAGATTTGTTCCGTTTACGTCGAGTGTCAAGTGAATTCAAGACTTTAGTTTGTGAATACTTAAAGGTGTGTCGAAAAGTGGATATTTCTTTTTATAATTCTTACTTTTCATCAGATGCTTTCAAAATCATTATCAATGATGCCTTTTTTATCCATGACTTGATATTAAAAAACTGCAAGTGGCTAACAAATGACTTGTTGTGTCCAGTTTTTGATAGAAATCCAAACATTTTAAAAGTGGACATCTCTGGTTGCTCAGCTGTGAGTAATCCCAGTTTACAGATCTTAGCTGTTTGCTGTCCTGCATTAAAATATTTATCCTTGGAGGGTTGTCATTGGGTTAGTGCAGCTGCAGTTGAATCCCTTGCACTGCACTGTCCAGGTCTTGAAGTCGTTAATCTGACCAGCTGTTGGGAGGTTACAGACCAGGCTGCAAGCACACTTGCTGCTTGTTGTACCAGGTGTGTTTACAAGTTTACTATATTTGTGTAGAGAAGAACATTAGGCTAGGTGACTTGTATATATAAGACACATCGATTTGTAAGCATAATGAAAAAATTTAATACATACTACATGTTTCAACAGAGCATTGGTCTGTCTTCTTCAGGTACCAAAACATGTAGTGAGTATTAAATTTTTCATCATGCTTACAAATTGTTGTGTCTTATTCATACAAGTTTACTATAGTTTCTGAAATTCTTAGATGTGTAAAAATATTATATGCAGTTTCAGTTTCTCAAATTTATACAAGTACTTTTAATTTTTAAAACTTTTATCATTTAAAAGGAGAGACCTAGAAGAGAAATTGATAATAACTTTTGTGATTTCATTTAGTAAACATGTAATGGATGAAAACAAAATGCCAATACAACCAGGGTCGAACAAAAAACAATTTTATTAAACTGTAACAACAACAGAAATCCAAAATAAAACTTTCAAACAATTGGAATACAAGTTTTCTCACTTACAAAAAAAATCAAAGTAAATCCGTGCCTGGCGAGGATTTGATACAAATGTTAATAAACAATACAATATAAATGTTATTAGTTTCAATGCATAAAGAAATTAGGAAAAAGAACCAGAAGAATAAAAAACCTCATTCCAAAAACAAACAAACAATATTCCAAAATTAAACCACTGCAAGATCAATAACAATATTGAGTGACAATCACCAATAATTCATTCTAATTATATCTCATGAACTAACTGATTTAAGATCAAGGCATGGTTTTTACTTAGTGGTTAGACCAAAGGTTATATATCATGTGACTAGCTAACTTATATAATCTTAACATAACATAATGTTTTGGGACAACATGGGACTTATTGGTCCATCTCGGCTGTTCCATCCTCTAAACTAAATTAAAATAATTTAACAAAAATCTTAAATCCAGCCCTTATCATTCATATATTTATTAAGCTTTTTCTTAAACTCACTTAAATTTACTGCCCCTACAACATCTGATGACAACCCATTCCAAAGGCCAACCACCCTGTCAGAAAAATGAAAGTCTTAGCTGAAGATGACTCTTACCTTGCCAAAATTTATTTTTATGTCCACTAGTCTTACTTTTCTCACTGTTAAATATGAAAAAGATGATGCATCAACACTATCAATTCCTTTTACAATCTTAAACACCTCAATCACGACCCCCCCCCCAATCT